ATCTCTCTGAACCTGGCCATAGTCCTCGATAGCGCCCCACACTACACCTTGCTCTCTAAACTTTTGAAGTGGGCATTACTGCACCACTCTCAGCACGGTTTACAGCATTTTCAAAGGACAGAGAACTCTTTGCGAAAGTAAACAGAATTCGATCAGTCTGGGGAAGTGAAAAAAGAGGAATCCCTCAGGGACCCACCCTGGGCCGCTCCTATTTTTACTATCTATCAGTGACCTTCCCATTAAAACCCACTCGCCTTTCTCCCTATTTGCTTACGATATCAAAATACAGAGGACAATAGGTAGGGAAGACAATCCCAGGCTTCTCCGAGATGATCTGTTTCAGCCAGAGTCCTGGTCAGCTGCAAACGGTTTGAGCCTTAGTGACAATAACAATCTTTATTCCCTAATATACAGATACACCGTTTTTACAGGTATAAACAAGTTTCTATTTGAATTACATGCATCTTCATGGAAGGTAATCTCAATCTCCACCTATTTTCACTGGAAGATATAAATGCTGCATGTTCGTATGGTGGAACATCCCAGCAGAATGAGCATGCAAAAATTTACAAGTTGGACAGGTTGAAGTATTGCCTTCGAAACTACATGTATTGCCTGGAGGAAAGTAAGGTTTGAAGCTAATACTTCCATTGTAACGGTCTGTACTCTTTGCCTGAGAATTGATGAAAACTTTATAAGGGAATGCATGCACCAATTTATTTGATTTATTGTACTTCATTGGTGATTCCGAAACTGTATAATTCATGTATGCTAATACAGTCCCACGTCAGAGATTCATAATCTTGGTGAATATTACGGCTGAGAGCCAAATATCCTAACTTTTCCAACTCCGGCATCCAGAAGCGACAGACGCCAAGTGGACTTCTGGGACATCTTGTCTGCCGTTTTCACGGGTCGTGACAGCCTTGCGGTCGGTACGTGTTGGACTTCCCCGGTTTTTTATGATAAGTAAATCCCAGATTTAGATAGTTATGAAATTGCAGTCCAGTGACCATTTCTTATTTTTGCTCGTTGGGGACATTTAAGGCCATAGATCTTCGCACATCGGAAGCGGTGAAAGCCAGTTACACCTTTAACGAGTGTGCAATCACCGAGGTATCCACAGAGAAGGATTTAGGACTGAGCTTCACGGGCACACCGTTTACTAGTGCCAACTAAGGGGGAATGACAACAGAGGTGAGCGAGATCATGCACTTTCTAAGAAGGCAGCTTGGAGCATTAACCCCAACATTATTCCTCATGGTATTCAAAACCTGTTAGACCGCATGTATGGGTATCCAACACGATGGCTCGGCCCCCACCGCTAAAGAGAGTCGTGACTACTCTCGAGAAGGTACGGAGGAGGGCGGCGGGGTCAGCTGTCAGACTAGCAGGCAAAACGAATGCTCAACGCCCCACACAACACAACTTGTCTGCATTTGGGTATCAAAGGAAACAAGGTGACCTGGCAACAGCATGAGGGATCATCCATCGAGTGGACCACCCAAATAGGTCAACATTGTCAACCCCAAACCGGCGGTCGCGCAAGGACCCCACTCACATACCCCACCGTAGGTCAAAGATGAGAGTGAGATCAAACTTTACTAATGGGGTATGTGACTCGCGAGACGCTCTACCAAAGGAAGTAGCCACAACTATATCATCTGACCCCTTCGCATGACTGTTGGGTAGGTGCTTGAGGGAAAACAGCATACTATTAGCATTCGTTGGCAGGTACGCTCATTTGCCCCGTATTTTCCAGCCCAAGCATCTGCAGTCTGACAAATCCGTTTTCCGTGTTGTCACCGGGAGCACTCATTTTTCCGAGGTTATTTTTGACCCCACTTTTTCTCATTCCCGATTTACCCTATTTCCAGTACCTTTTAAGTGACGCTCAATAGCTGCTTGCAGGCGCTTGAAAACAGAAATCGGGGGAGGTTAATTGATCTCATCACCGGCTCCATTGCCCCCAAACAAACCGAGCCACAATTTGCAGGAAAAATTTCTTCAAATAGACAATCCCTACTCTCGAAGCTATGAGCAGTGAAAACGTTACGACTTCTGTGACCACCAAAAGAGTATGACCGAATAAAAAATGGAAGCGAGAGCTCAAAAACTACAAGTTCCCCCTGCCCCCACTACTATTGTTGGATGTTTCATCTGAACTATTTGGACGTCCATAGGCGAGCAACAAGAGGCGTCGTGAGAACAGACTGAAAGACCTGCGATTCTACCCTCCTAGCTACCGTAGGTCACTTGGCGACTTGACAACGGCCTATGAACTACCAAGTACCCCAGTCATCCAAACGGCCAATGTGGCGATCCACGTGGTAGCCCAAGGAGAACCGCCCACCAAAGGGTTGAAACCCTCGTGAGTTCACGCTTCTTCTCCCTGAGTGCTTGCGGTGACTAGAACGCACTGCCTGCCGGGACCACTATTGTTTCGTCTGCTGACAGCTTCACGAGGAGGCTGAACAGTTACGCAGCAACGCAAGGTTCACGCTCACTCAGCTGGGATATGGACTAAGCTTATACAACCCACTTAACTCGCACAACTCAACACGGCCATCCCATTACCGAGTCTTTTCTAACGTCCCTGTCATCTCCAACCCGGCTCAACCCTATACTTCCCTGTATACATCTACAGTTGGCATCTCCTACTAAGAGTATTGTAGGGAGTGCTGGTTGTATTATGTTTGACCAACCCTACTTGACGTGCTCTAGTACCTGCTTGACCAGTGCCTTACTTAACGTGTAAGTACTGACAATGGAACACAAACCAAAAGAACTGGTTCCGGGAATATATCCGGAGAAGCAATATCCCTAACTAGAAAAAATGTGATAGTAATGAACAGGGGAAACGTTTGTTCAACTTATCTGGCCAGTACGGTTGAACCACGAACCCTGAGTATGTGCGTGCTAACCAGCACAAAAGGGTCGCAAAATGGCGTACTTGGAGGCATGCTCGTTAAAACAAAACTTAAAACACCTTGAGCGACTGGAGGCGAGCCAGAGGTTTGTTCAGTCAATTTAATCTAATCTACTTATTTTAGCCCTAGTTGCATTTTGGAGCCAGGAAGGTGCACTACAGTTTACCATCTCTATTCCTACAAACCGTCCTATAATATTATTTGTTCCCTTCTTCCGACTGATCTTACGTTCTCACACCTTTTAGTGAAAGCTCTCACTATCATTCCTTTTAATGAATCTACTGAGGTTTCTTCTTCCGTCCCATTTACTTTCTCCTTATCGTTTTTGCTTCTTGTTCCTTGCACTTTCTCTCTCTTAACTTCTCTAGGCATATCTTCTATCTTCTTTTTACAGCCACTATGACTAGCTGTCTGGTAGCACGACACTTGAGGAACCTATCTCCACCACGGCCCTTGAAAAACCTACAAATTTAACCAACTCCCAACCTCCCATAGGGCTAACCAGAGCTACAGCAGTCGAGTGGGTAGACCTACGGCATCGGAATCCATCAAGAACCTGGGGCCGTTGCGCAGGACTTAGAAGTGAGGCTGGAGAAATCAGTTGGTTTTTACTAGCTAGTCAAAAGTTATTGGATGTTGAGAAACTGCCAATGTGGCGAAAGTTCAAAATATGCGTTACTCAGATCTTCAAGGGCTAGAGCAAGTCTTTTTGATGTCTTTATAGGATGCACAACGATTTTTCCACGTGCCTATATGTAATAATAATGCCTTAACTCATAAGATCAAAGACAATTTGAAGTCAATTTTCGTAATTCTACTCATAATATTCCTAAGTAATAACGGAACTGCACTTTATCATGGAAACCAGTTTCAACAAGTTGACCTAGCGATGTGGTTTTCATCGATAGAGACAAGCCAAATGACATATTTATCCTTCCAATTTTCGAATCAATAAATCTACTTAAAAAGCGTTAGCACGAGATGCTGAAAATGCATGTTTCGGTATAGTTTCACTAGTTCATATCTAAATCCAGGAAATACGCTTCTATAAGTAAACGATTTGGTTGAGTTTTTGGGATGGGTGTAACGCAACTGCTGATCTATTTTCTAATATCTAGTTTTTTGGCACGATAAATAATCCACACTCTACCTTGTTGGATGGTTCAAGTGGTTGTTGACAGAATAGAAGATTAAGGATGTAATATCAACGGAAAACTAACTGGATTATGTCTGCTAAATAAATCGCGTGGTTTGTGATATAGTATATTCGGAGGAAACTCATAGATAGGAGAGTAAAAATAACAAACATGAGCACTGTCTGAAGCAAATTTTGGAAATTACAGCACACGGAGATTCGAAAACAGGTCAGTAATTGCACTAGATTCAACAGAAACGCTAGACAAAGTTTATTTCTGTGGAATCAAAGTTCTACGAGGTGTTTTTGCGTCATAGGAAGAAAAACTTACTCCTGAGACCTTACGTGGGAAAATTTCAACAGCTTGAGTTGAATAGACGGAGTTCAATCAGCTGCACCATGACAATTTTAATTATTGAATATATATAAAGCGAAAACAAACTGACAGTAATGTTTCATTTATCTTCGGATCCTATTTGCACTACTTGTATCATCATCTACAGCACAATATTTTATGACTCAAGTCACTTTTCATCACCTTTCTTGAACTTCCTACATTCACAACTGAAAGTTGAGATTTGATGAGAGTGAGAAAAACACTTGTTTGCTCAAAGTAGGTTGGGTAAGAGGATAGGAACTGAGATAACCATAAAATGATTGTGGTAGAGTGAACGTGTTGTTCAGAAAGCTAGTCTTGTTGGTATTGGATTATTTCAACTTACCATCCGTAATATTAGATTTTATGCTGAATGTATTTCGAACTGTTTCGTCTAGCTTTGCAAGCCTTCAGCTTATGTTTCTTACCATATCGGTTGTGTTATAACAGCAATGTAAAATAAATGATAACCACCGTTTAATTTTCCTCTTCTTCATAGGTCGTTTACTCTTAACCTAATAATTACAATCCAGTGATCTTTTACTGTTGGTTGATAAATATGTCAGGAGTTTTCGCGCAAAAAAGCGCTAGGTATGTTATTGCTGAGGAAGCAACAAGTCCCAAACGTGTGAGTTTTCAAACGTATTTTCATCTAAGGATATTTAACCCATTAGCTTTTAGATGAAAATGAGCATATTATAGAGTTAATTGCAGATCTTACCAAGAAAGGTCGGTTTCGGGAATCAGTTCAAATGCAGACTGTTCTTCAACGTAATTTAGTTTACCTTGTCTCTTTGGTAGACCAAAATAACTTGAATCTACATGAGTCAGTTAATGCAGGTTTTGTCGATGAATAACTGTGTACGACTGTGTTTACTTTGTTGTTTCTTACCTATTGACGAATAATTCTTATTTGTTTCTATATTAAAAGCTATACGTTTTCTTCCAGTCAAACTACTGCATTATTTTCAATATATATCTTCCCTGGAGACGAATAATTTTTAGCGACTTACAACTGAAAACTTAGTTTAATGCAGTGAAATTGGAATAGTGGAAGCATTCCATTTTTCTTATTTAACTATTTTAATCAATCTGATGGTTAGTCACTTTATTGCCATCCAATATTAATCAGTCAGTTAGTCGGTATCATCATGGAGACTAGAATTACTGTGACGATAAAAGCTGCCACAGTCCGTACCAGCACATAACACAACTAATCGAAAGATGAAAAAATAGGGGAAAACTGACCCAAAGTTGAAAAAAATTGTAAGAATAGTAAAGGAGATAGAGGTACTACATGACGATTACAATAAAGGCAATATGTGAATGCATCTGTGCTACTGAGGTGGATTCTGAGACATATCACCTAGATTCTCCAACCAGTTATATCTGTTGTCGTGTGGAACTGAATTGAAAGTCTGCATCGTCTCAAACGGTCCAAAATAATAGTCAATGATTTTATGGACTGATATCATATTTTAGTTTGGTTTTTTTTTAATCTTTCTGCAGCCTAAACCAGTTTCAGCTAATACTACACAAGAAATAGGTGGTCATGAGGTATGTGTAACACAGGTTTGTGCGGGTCACAGGTTTGAATGCCACTCTACCTACTGAGGTTTGAGTAGCGAGGTAGTATCATTATTCCTCAAACAATAGGTGTAAAGCCTTCTTACATCCTCTACCTTTATTGGCTGTTTCACAACCATGTAGCAAAACAACCTAAACTGCAACGCAGTATACTTGGCCCTTAATCAGCAGTCGAATATTATAGTGGTGCCTAGGTTGGTGAAGACCAAGCCGTTCTTAAGCATCTCTTCAGAGTTTTCATTAGTCATCAAACCACCAGGCTCTCCAAGTATATGTGGTGTTCAATGCACTCAACCACTTCACTCCCTACTGTTAAAAGGTACAGATGCAGCCTACTTCTAAAAGAATAATTTACATTCGGGCGGTGAGAAACTCATCTGAAACATTCTCGAAATGTCACTCAATGTGTTCAAAAGATTGGATCTTGTCCATGTCTACACTTGACAAGTCTATGGTATCTGCGTACTGTAGGTGTATTAAGAGGTCTTCTGTGAGAACAGTAGTCAGATGACAAGAGCAAAAGCAAATAAAAACAGCGAAATTGAAAATCTCTGACACACTTAGCTCACCGGATATCTCACCATAGGGCGTTATGTACCTATGAATGTTCAGATGTATAACATTTGGCGGAGAGATGTGATTACTTAGCACCCTTTGAAGTGAGGATCATTACCATAAAGTTCCCTATTGACGGAATCAAATACTACCTCCAGGTCAGGAGATATAGATAGTGGTGGGTGCTAGTAAAGGTGCATGCATTCCAGAACCTGGTGCAGAGTAAATATGTAGTATATACAGCCTCGAATAGGTCTGAAACCAGCCTAGTTTCCTTGGGTTTTTCTGTTCCTGAGATTCGTTTAGTATTATTTTCCTTTCTCTGTTACTGGAAAATAGACACAGATGAAATTAACTTAGAACTTCGCACACAAGTACGTTGGCTCAAGTTGTCGTGCTTCACAGTAATACACACAAAAAAGATTGATATAAAAGCAGACAAAGTTGTGTTAGAGAATAAACAATCTGAAGAAAGCGATTAGTGTAAATATTCAAGCTTTAGATGGTGTCCAAGAGTGAACACCAGCGCCACTGAGACCGATTTTCAGCCTTGTCACCAAGAGTCAGTCCTCAACCACTGAATCATATCGTCTCCAGAACTTCAGTCAGGTAGTCTGCATCTTTGCGTACGACGCATATCCACAGTCAGAGACTTCATCGACTAGTACCTGGTCTTAGTCTGGTCACGAACCCACTTCCAACCTAATCCAGCTTCACCTAACATCGCCCGTCGAGGCAGGCAATGGCTCGGCATGGCAGTACATGTTCAAGCCATCTCAGTCAACTCGCTTGACTTGCCTAGTACACTTCCCCTGGCCTCAACGTGGCTCACACTGTGGTTCCAGTATGCGCGAGCGATGCTACGAAGACACTTGTGGTCAAAAACGTGTAACTGCTTCATGTCTCCTACTTTTAACAGCCCTGTCTCACATCCATAAAGCACGACAGAACGCACTGCAGTGCAGTATACTCGTCCCTTGGTAGATAGTCAGATATCTCTCCAGTGGCTTAGGTGACGCAAGTTGGCAAATGCTAAATGGGCCTACTGATCGACATATTCAATCACTTCACTCCCGATTCTTAGACTAGGAGTAGTTGGAGACCACTTTGGAGCATCGTCTTATGTCTGGAAGTAGCGAAACGCATACCAAATATACTCAAACTTCTGCTGAAGTCGTTCAGAAGCCTCTGCATTTTGTCAGCATCTTCACCCAGCAGGACACTATCGTCTGCATACTCCAAGTCAACCAGATGATCTCGCGCGGGTAGGTCAATCCCTATAAATTCAGACATATCTAAGGTTTTGTCCATTAGTACATATATAGCGAAATTAGGCCGAATGGTAACAGCAGGCATCCCTGGTGGACACTACTGGTTGTCTTGAGTTCTGCTGACGACTCTTCATATGCCTTTACGCGACTGCATGAGTTCAAGTATAAAGGTTTGATTAGCTTTATATACTTGTTCGATACTCCTATCACGGTCAGACACTGCCACAGCAACTCATAACCGACAGAGTCAAATACTGGCTTCAGGTCGAGAAATGTGGTAAGTGTAGTCTACTGACTGGTAGGTATACCTGTGTTCTAGAACTTGTGGTAGAGTAAAAAATTGGTCAATGCACCCTCGTCTATATATGGAACCTGCCTGGACCTCTCAAGTTTGTTGTTCTTGAGGTCCAGTTATGTGTCGGATAACTATTGACTTTAGACTGGGATGATCAGTGAAACACACCACCACCTCCGATTCCCATACATTACTTATTACCTTCATCACTTTAATTAGCAATTTACTACCTCCTTCCTTGAAAAAGTCAGGCGCTAAACTGTTAGGTCCAGCTGCTTCCCAGCGTCCCAGTATTAGTTGTTTAAAAGCGAAGAAATTAAATTTGCGAAGCGAAAGGGGATGCATTTTTCCCCACAGAAACTTAACCGATAGTGGGTACCTTGACGTGGTAGTCGGACTTTCATATCACAATGACCCAACGAAGTATCTTGGTGGGACACTTGCTCCCTTGAGATCCAACCATACCAGGAAGACCTGTTTAATAGTAGTAAGACAAAAAGCAGTTTCCATTACAGTGCAGTAGAATACAGTAGGAGATGATGACGGTCTGATGGTGAAGTCATATTGCTGTCTGGCTGGGGTGTGATAGCAGTAAGATATTTCCCACGGATGGCCAGTACTTCGTGCTGCTAGGATGCGTCAACCACCATCACAGCGCTGCTAACTTTTTTAAGTTCTCTCAGTCTATATTAACAGTTTAATTACTCAATAAAAACAGTAGTGGCCAGTGTGAGTAATTTTAATCTCAGTATCAGTGTTTCAACTGGCCATGTGTATAATATATTTGTAAATTTTTCAGCCTTAGAGATCGTTTGTGTGGTTTCTACTTCTTTCTTCTCAGATGACGTCTAATTTGTACCCAAATGTATAATGGCTTCTTGCTGGCAGTTCGAACTCTTTTCTTTCTTGTGTTGGAGTTTTCATAAGTCCTTGCATGTTGACGTATTCCACCAAACTGTTGTACAAAATCATTAGTTCTTTTCCACTTCTATCTGTCAGATGCATAATTCTTACTCTGCAAGTAAGAGCGTTCTTCAGATATCATCTTGTGTTTAAAAAAATTAAGGTAGGAAAATCGTGTATACTATCCATTTTCTTCACTCTATTTTCCCTGAATCCTAGTTAAGTATTCTATAACTAAATCCGAAAAGTTAAGGAATTTTTTTGTGACTATTTCTATTATACTTATCCAAAGAAGGTGATTATCCTTCTTCAAGTCAGTAGAATCAGTGGTCAAGACAAGAAAAGGGATTGCTATTTTAGATTGCGACGCTTCATCTAACAATAAACCAGCTGGTTTTTTTTACCGGTAATCCTTAATCACCATCCCGAATAAATTCTAAAAGGCGAAATGTCAAAACAATCCTACTGTTCGACTTAACTGAAATAGCTATATCAGTATGCAGTAGAGGTCACTATTAGATTGACCGGAAGTTAGGATGGGGGTTGACTGAAGTACTCACAGTGTTTGACCTTTCGTCGCAGTCTCTTATTAGGAGGGTTTATCACTGATAATATCATCAGCTGTTACTATTCGTGGTTCGTCTTCGTTGCGAATTCACTATTTACTGTCTAGATTCATACCTACTCTTAGTCTTGTCGATTTCTTTTTCTTCTGTTATCTGTTAACGTTCATGTGCTAAATCGATGTATACTTCAATTGCTTTTACCCTTTCTATTATTATTGTTACTATTATTCGAAAGTTGTTGAAATAAGTATTTGTGCATGCATCTATTTACGCAAATGTGCTAAAATTCACTGACTTTCCAAGAGCCCATCACTGATTTCTAACTATCCTTAACTTTTTTCGTGTGTTCAGTCGTTATCTGTTCTTGGGATTATTTAATTAAGTATGACGTAGCTACATACCATTCAAATGCCAACACATTTGTGATCGCAGGTAAATGAAGTGTAGTAAAAAGCAACACTATTTTACGGACACCATTTGACAGTCTTCCATAACAATATAACCTATTGTTATTCAATGCTTGGTTAATATGACCAGCTATAAAGATGAAGAGCGTATTAATGATGGCTAGTGGTTAGTAGCTTGATTCTAAAGGCACGTTTTTCAAGCAGTATTGTACAAACCATGCCCGTCACACAAGAAGTGGCTCACGTGACTCGATGGCTTAGTGGGTGACGCTTTGGGGCTTGCAAGCGACTGGTTCCGGGTTCGAGTCTAAGTGGGAACAACGTCGCTCACTGGGAAGCACACACATCCAACTGACGAGTCCCAAATAGGGCGAAACACGCATCCTGGATCCCAATGCTAGCCACTATCCATCACTATCACAAGCTTGAAGATACATACAACATCGAGGTATCCTCGTTGCAGCCCATATTCCAATGAAGATCGATCAGTTCGGTCCAATCAACGATGGGATAATACATCATAGAGTGTTTCGCTTCTTAAACCGGGTGCTAGTCAGAAACAGACTGTTATTGAAAAGGAATAAAAGCATTGGAGCAGTTAGCTCTTGGTGTTAATTTCAGGCTATCAACCAAAAGATCACAAACTCTAACCTTCCTCTATCTTCTTGGTCCTTGTTCATTAGACAGTATCATGAGATACTCACATGCAAGACGTGACTCATAGTGCAGTGGGAGTTGCTGATGAGAATGAGAAGCAGAAGAAGAAATGAAGCACATTTTGCAAATGACGGTTCTAGTGCAAGGTGTACCATATTTAACGAATACTGTCCCACTTGTTTGCAATAAATATTCCTTCATTCGTATAGGTCTTCTTGCTTCTCTCAGTGGTATAATTAGTAGACCTTAACCAGGTTGTTGAAACTCAAACATGGGATTATCATAGTGAGCTGTTAAGGTTGAGGTATTCTCAGAATGTATTTCATCTAAGTTCACTGTCTTTATTTCTTATATTGTTGAAGCATACAATTTCAAAAAGGAAAACATAAATTGGTTGATAGGGTTATGGATACAAATGTATCACCTGACTCCATTATTATCACCTTGAACTGTGAATTTTGGTAATACCTTAGGTTTGATTTCATATATTACCAGCTAGCTTAATTAACTAACTAGGATTGGGTTAGTTTGAACAATATGGTGTTCGTACATCAGATTAAGAATGCAGTCATCTTGTGTTTAGATCATGTTGACTTGGCTAGTGATCACTATTGGTTAGTAATGATAATGTCATTTGGTGGCATACATCATAATATTTTTCTTCCCTTCGCATTCCTGCATCCTCTTCTTAGTCTATATATTTTTCCGCTTTTATGTGTTATAGTGTTTTAAAGTAGAACAACAAATTGAACTAACATCATTTCTTGCTTGGTTCCACAATACTCCAACCATATTGTCAATTACAAAATAATCTATTGTCTACTAATAATCCATAAGGCTTACGCTTGTTGACTGTATCTAGTCAGTGATTTTTAACATTAATGCAACCTCAACCAAAATAGATTACACTTCATACGGTTCACACTATCATTCCACATATTTTTGTCAGTTTTTTGTCTTATCACCTTTAGTTTTATTCCGATGCTGTTCTACTCTAGGCATCTTCCCAGACTAAGGGTAAATAGTGGTTAGAAATGCATAAGATATATTCTGGTAGCTTTATATGGTAGTGATTTCACAACTCCACTGACTAATATACTTCCCATTGAGATATTCAAAAGCACAAATTTATTCATACTGGGTGATGATTAAAGGTGAAATGAAAATTCGAACCGCGGCCGGATTCGAACCAGTGACTACCGGGTTCCCGGCCCGGTGGTCTGCCAGCTGAGTTACGAGGCTTATCTGCAGACCAGATTTTTATTTCACTTCAATCACCAATGCCGGTTTTGCCCGACTATTATGTGAATTTGTGACGCGTTACTACCACTTGGTTGTACTCACACTAGCTGCCCAGTCAAGATTTCTTATCCGAATTCAAATCTACTTGAATTAGAAGGGTAAAGCACCATATTGATTGTCACTTTGCCTATCTAGGATAGCCATGATTCGGTTGACTGGGTGATTGATTCAACAGAAAAAAGAAATCTTTTTGATGAATCATTTTCAGCATGTATAGTAATAAAAATCCAACAAGCAACAGTTCCATGTTGGATCATTTAATCAACTCCCCTCATGTTATTTCCCTACAGTCTTCTTTCAAGATCCTGTACAAAGTCAAACCAAACGGCTCGAAAAGAGTGTAGATTCCTCATTTATGTGTATTGAAGGCGTTAGCCTGAGCTCTGTGTACAGAAAAGATACATTCATTCTCTTATTTTGCCGTGGTCCGAATCCTCTATTGGGTTTCTTTATTGCTTCAATATTCAACTTACTCTAACCGATTGATTATCATTACTTTTTTATTTTTACTCTGCAGTTTACTTTCCCATAGGTTAACAACATGTTAGCTCTAATCTCCCACTAGAATTTCCCCAATACTTTACTCCAGTTACTGTTTACAATTACTATTATTATTTTGACTTGTTTACTTTTAAATCGATTAGTTATTACGGTTATTCTACTGCATATTTTCTTTATTACACACTTGCTTACGCAATCCCCTTGTAACTACAACCAGCCCACTATTTAACCCTAGAACGTTCCGTTTTGATCTATTAGTCGATAATAGACTAATCTGTTTGTTTTTTATTACTATAAATACAACTGTACAGCTATTGAAAATGCTTCATTGAAGAGAAAATTTCCTTTGATGAATAAACTTACCCCCCCCCCCTTGTTACTAAATATGTATATTGCTTTGGATTTCCTGATTCAATTATCACTAAAACTTGGGAATTAATGTTAAGCAGATTTTTAATTTCTCAGGATTAATACTGTTTCTATTGGATTTATCAAAGTATAGTAACAAACAATCTTTAGAAGTTGCATTATGAAGTTCTCTGATAAAAAAAGAAAGAAGTTTTATGATCTGATTTTGCGCATTGCTTGGATTATCTCTTCGTCTACTGGTTTTAAACGTGTTGGTGAGGTATTGGCTGTAGTGATATTCACAGGTGAAAGATTGCCTTCATTCAGTGGTGATTGTAAAGTATTCTTATTATTGTCTATCATAGCTAACAAATTCTTGGAATTATCATTTGATACTGTGCGATTTGTTGGTTTAGAGTTTTCTTTTTCTAATCGGTCGATTTTTACACGTTGCTCTGTAATCTAAAGTTTAAATTTGAAAAAAGGGAATGAAATAGACAAAGAGAAAATCTTTCTATTGTAGTATTTTTTATTATGATAACTTTTCCATGGGTTTCTAGTGGAACATAGGGCTTCAGTAACACGTCTCCATTGGACTCCGTTTTCTGCAGTCTTTTGAACCTCGCTCCACCACTGTCCACAAGCTTTCACTTCTTCCTCACACAATCTCCATTTCACCCTCGCCTCGGACGCCCAACTCGTCGTTTCCCCTTTGGATTCCACCCGAGGGCCTGGCGGATGATGTCTCCAATCGGCCTTCTCAGCGTATGCTCAATCCATCTCCACTTTCTCTTGCATATTTGTTAGGCGATAGGTTCTTGGTTGGTTCGTTGCCAGTTTCTTGTTGCTTATTCTTTCTGGCAATCCATCTGATCTTCACTATCGAGTGAGTGTAGGCGGCAGCTGTTGATGGATGTCTGTAGTCTGTTGGAAATGCTTTTCGTGACACTCCAAGTTTCTGAACCATATAGCAGCACTGACTTGACATTGGTGTTGAAAATCCGGATCTTCTTCACGCTTTATGCTTAGTGGAGTAGATGTGCACGCTGATTTCAGATTAATGAAGGCTTGTCTTGCTTTTCAGATCCTGGTTTTGACATTCTGATCTGTGCCACCACCTGTAATTGAAACGACGCTGACTTGGTAAGTGAAAGAGACTACTTCCTTTAGATTTCCCCGTTCATGGTGATTAATGCTTGTTGTTGATGCTGTTGTTCGTTGGGTATCTTCATCACTTGTGTCTTCTCTACATTCACTTGAAGTCCCGTTTTCGCTGCCTCGCCTCACCTCTTCTGCCAACCTGTTGGTTTTCGCTTGTAGATCTTCAACTTTCTGCGATACTAGACACAAATCATCGGCGGTGAAATCCAAATCTTCTAGGCTCTTTCCCCCGGTCCAGCTTATCCGCCTCTTCTCGCTCCTCACAATTTGCTGTATGATCCAGTCCACCATAATCAGGAATATCATGGGTGATAGTAGGCAGCAACCTTATCTTACTCCTGTCTTCACTTCAAAGGCATCACTGAACTTTTCATTGTGAATCACTTAACATGTGGCGTCTCATATAGTTGTTGAATGGGGTTGATAAAGATTTGTGATATTAGGTTGCAGTAATCCTCAGCATGCTTTCCTAATGAGGTAACAACCATACAAAAGTTCATAACAGCAAGATGAAATGAAAATCATTCTTGTATAATGATGACTAACTGGACGGAGGGAATAAACCTCAACCAGCTTTATGTCATAATACTTCATGTTAACCAATCTTCTACTGTTACACTTTTCTGCATACTATAAATTGATTTGCTTCTTGAACTAGTTGGTACAGTCTCATGATTTTAGAAGGTCCCATTTCTCCTACTTCTAATGAGGTGAGAAATATTGAAATTGTAAATAAGGCCTGGGAAATTCTTTTTTGGATTGAATTCGAATATTCTGAAGGTCAACAGGCGAAATAAGAGAATGCTGTCTCCGTTGATTTGTTAGCAGACGCAATCTTCCATTACTGAAATCTTGTCGATTACAATATATATATATATATATATATATATATATATATATATATATATATATATATATATATATATATATATATATATATATATATATATATATATACATATATATATATATATATATATATATCACTTCTAAGAATTCAAGCAATATACATCTACTTATTTGAATGAAGTGTCACATAATCGTGTAAATAAGATATGAACATTCGATAAAAACTCGGTAAACAGGCAAAAAAAACTGTGAAGTCAAAATAAAAGTTTTATGTCCGAGGTATCGATTATTTGTTAACCCTTTTATTTGGCGTACTAAGGTTTCTTGCTGTAAATCTATCTAAAACCAGATGTACCGCACCTTTAAGTATCAAGTTTCTTATTTTTTAAGATCAATGCGCATATTGACTTTTTACTGATCTTGTGAAGTCATTTTCCTCAAATGAGCATTATGGACTATATTTAGGGGCACGCAAGAAGACCTTCCTACATAGTTGAGTAAAGCCAACCTGAATAATGTGATAACACCTAGCTGAGATGAGTCCTGTTGTTGATGTACAACCTTCCCAATTATTTATTAGACCTTTAGCTGACAGAAGTTTGTAGGTTAGTATCAAGAAGACAATGTTTCGATGTTCTCTCAGATTTAGTCGTGGATATTTTGTAGTCTGGCTTGGTGACATCATCAGAACCATCCGCAGGTATATTTTGAAGTGATATGAATAATTACATAGCGTTTTTATCTGACCTTGAATACTATCCAGTTGTAAGTTGAAGAAGAGATTTTTCTTCGACTTCGACTTCGACTTGAACACTTCGACTTTAAGTTTTATTAGATCACTTTGAAAATGAATCTTATGATTCAGATATGGTATTTCTTATACTGTCCTGGATTATTGACCTCTGTGATCAATTTTTCGACGAATGATTTTTTTTCTTGATAAGCAAACTATAGATTAGGTCTATATCCACATGTACGTTGATAACTATTTCACTGGAATAACAGGTTTATAAATAGTCTGTTGTGACTTTTTAGCTCTGTCATGTTGGATTTCTACATTCTTACAGTCATATCTGTGACTGCGGTTATCCATATGTATTAAGACCAAAGATGATAAATGATTTCTTAATATTTTTATTTGAGATATAAATTGTATAGCTATCTGGAGGCTAGACTGACCGAAGTAATGTTGCGGAAATTGTTTATCTTACCTCCCTTTGACATTGGATCTCTCAGTTTACACAGAATATTCTGCAATGATTACACTGGTTTGTGCGTCACCCTAATCATGAGGATACTAAGTGGTCACTTTACAATTTGTATAAGTACTTCTCTACAAATTTCCTGAGTGTATGCGTGTCGTAAAGTGTCTTTCCTTTCGAAAGCATATCTTGTGAACTATGAAACCTGTCTTCACAGAATTACCTGTTATTCTAACTCATAAACCTTAACTTGTGAAACTGAGTTTGTATTTCTTGTCTCCTGCATTAACGATGTTCTGGCTATACAACAAAACATGACCATCAAGTCATAAAGAAACATAAAGGTAATTTAGGGCAGAAAAGTTTCTTTTCCGGCAATATTCTATCCTAAAGCTACACATCATCGTCATCCATCAACATGGGACCAGGCATTACTGCGTAACGGTCCGAGTTGCCACAGCTCGTATCAGTGCGTCAAGTAAAAATGCAATGAAGTAAAAAATGAAGGGAAGGACTCAGTCAAAAGAAATGTAAAGGAAGAATAAGAAAATGGTGAGATTTGGTATAACGTTAAGATGATGATAATTTGTGTACATCTGTGCCACTGACATCGGTTCTCAGCCATACCACCTAGAGTCAGTCTCCAACCGCTGGTTTCTCCTGTCCCGCGGACCCCGACCGGCTAGTCTTCATCGCCCCACATGGCTCAAACCAGCAGTCAAAGATTTCATACATTGATACCATGTTTTGGTCTGGCCGCCTCTGGTCTTTTTCCGGCCTGAACCTACTTTGGCCAACATTATGTGACGAGGCGATCGGTGACTAGGCATACGTAATACGTGTCCCATTTATCTCAGTCGATGAAGGTTCATAACCTCGTCAACTGATTTATCTCTTCTCCCTGAAACTCTACACCTGACTTCTGCATTACTCACGTGGTGAGACTACGGAATCTGGCCTATACTACAAAGGCAACAGTGGTCAAACACCTGAAGCCTCATGTCTTCCACCTTCAGTGGTCATGTTTCGCAGTTATACACCAGAACACAGCGAACTACTGTGCAGTACACGCGACCGTTAATAGATAATCGGATATCACGGCCGCGCTACAGGTGGCGTAAGTTGTTAAAAGTTAACCGGGTTTTTTGTACTTGTGCAAAGCTTTCATCGGCCACTGAGTTGCTATGGCTGATTCTACTTCCCATGTAAGTGAAGTGGTCGACACACCCAACCACTACACTCCCTAAAGCTATACAATCTTGTTTATGTATGTATCACAAACAGTTAACAGTGTATTACTGAACAATATCGTATGGTTACATGATTAAGCTAGTGCTGGTGTTAAAAACTGAAATCAAGACTGGAAAGGAGTTGTGTAATAGTGTCTTAGACAATGGAAATAGTGAGGAGGTTAAGAAGTTTGACAAGGTGAAAATTGTTGGTAGATGTGAAGTGCGATGATTCAGTGTCCACTTGATAGATACAAAGAAGCTGAAGAATGAGACAAGGGTCATAATGAAGATGATAATAATAAAACTAACTTATGTAATAGAAAAATTGTGGGAGTGTTAAGATTATGATAAGATAAGAGGGTGAACACACCTCTCACGCAGAGATCAGGCTTGAATTCATGGATTGCCAGTCCTTCTACTTTGCACAACTGCAGGAAGCATACTCATTTTGACGTTGTAAATGACACTGAAGGAGGAAACTGGTGTGAACTACTTGTCTAGAGTTGACCAAAGGCTCAAGAATAAAATGTTTTAGTGATTTATGTTCTCTTCTCTCCAACCATTCAGGATAATGCTCAGAGATACGTTCGGAAAGTGCACGCTTTGTGTGACCCATATAACTAACTTTACAGGAGCAAGTAAATTTGTAGACAGGCACAAAAGTTACCCAGAGCAGCAACCTGTCCCTAATACACCCTGGAACCGATTGCTGACTGAAGAAGCTGATCTATAACTTCGTTGAGAAGAATGTCTTATTCGACTATCTAGACAGCTGATTCTTCAGGATCTTTCCCGATGTATCACCTTTGAAACCAACGTTCATAAATAAAGTCTTCTTTGAAGCTATGAGTACTTGCCTCGTGTTCTGTTTTAATTTCAAGTTTTTCGCAATAAATCTGGATGGTTATATACTTTGTACGAGAATTTTTCATAGTTTGTTCAATTCATAGTCGATAGTATCACTTGTATAAATTTTTCTGGTTTTTGGTTATAATCAAAAGCGCATAAATTCACAAACTTTTTCTTAGAAAGTTGAGTGTACAATCCATTAACTTTTAAATGAATGCTGTAGGGATGGTAAAAGTTTGTGATTCCCTTAGTTCATCTTATCTTACGAATGCAAGTAACACTATTTGATCTTCTAAACTTAAGTTCGCTGGTTATCGAGTAAATTAGTCATCTAAAAATAGGTGTTTAAGTCAGTAAGCTTAAAACTACACTGTTAGAAAATCATTCTTTTATGCTTTAATATGTAGATAAGAGTTAAAAATCATCTAATCTACCCATTGTCTAGTTTTTAACTGTTTATCAGTACATCCCTCCTTTGAATACATAGATACATACATACATACACACCTTTAAAACATACCTCTTCATTGATCCTTTTTATATGTTCAACAAACATTTGACGTTCCTTCTTTAGAGCTTCAAACTCCTGTGTTAAATCTGGTTTTATTAGTTTTCCTGATAGTAAATTATCATAAGTCTTTTCTTGGTATACAAGCTGAATAGATTAGAAAAATGTGATTATCTACATGTAGAAAGGTATATATGATTAATAACTATGTTAAATCCTTTTCATTTCCTGTCAGTGTAATTATCTGTCGTGCACTAAATGTATACTTGAATATCTCCACGCGGTAACTTTGAATTGTATCCCATTGAACTGAAGTTTACCTTGAAAACGTTCTCTCTTAGAACTAAATAATGACACCTATGTGATGAAATAACAATGTACAACGCTAGCATTATTTTTGTGATACTGGATTCTCATTTGCTCTGTGTTTATATCAAATTGTACATACCTCGGTTATTATTCTATTGCCCGGTAGCAAATACACTGTGAAGAAAAGTGGTGTTTGTTGTGACTGGTTTACAGTTTTAGAAGCAATCGATGGGAAATTTTTCAACTTGTTCTTCGTACTGGGCAACCACCTATGTCGATGCGTGGTATTAACCGATGTAGGATTCAGCTGGAAGAAAGTTACGAGTGACCAGTCAAATACATGGTATCTAGCCCTGCGGATTTTTATTGTTGTTCTGAGCCGTTTACGGAGTAAACTGTCTATTGTCGTTTATCAAGATGTTAGAAATCAATGCTTGGCGAGTCTAAGTGATATAGCCTGAAGTTACATAACGTATACTAGTCTCCATACTTAAATTCGGAAAAGGAGGTTTTTTGTTCCTATAGGGTTTAGACAGTAAGGATTAGTCATCGTATAAGGTGTATTTTCATTTGTGTAATCCCAGCGTAGTATATTAGAACAAATAACAAAATAAACAAATATTTTGCATTATTCCTCAACGTTTCGATCTTGCTGGGAAGATCCTTTTCAAGAGTATGAATCTGACATTAAGTTTTCATCCTTCCAAACTAGTAATCTATTCTTTCTCACCCTCGATGACTCAACCACATTGTACTTTTTCTACAGACAAACTAAATTTTCCCACCCTATTTTTGTTCCACCTTACTCGCACACTGAAAAAAGCCTCTCTGAACCGTTCGCTTGTTCACTTATCTGTATTACAACGATCTTTGCTCCATATCACGATGTAATTGGATGATCGTAAAGGTCACCACTTTTTTTACCAAAACTTGAATATTAACCTGAATGTCAGATTAATACTCTCGAAAAGGATCTTCCTAGCAAGATCGAAACGTTGAGGAATAATGGAAAATATTTGTTTATTTTGTTAATATACTACACCGGGATTACACAAGTAAGAATACATCTTATACAATGAATCATACTAACTCGGTGTCCAAGTTTTTTCAAACCATCCAGTCCATTGTTGGTCAGGATACCTTCAATCTTATTTGAGGATTATGTTGTGGAGTATCAACCTTATAACAAGTAGTTTGTTACCCACTTTAAAAGTTGACTATCGTTTCAGTTTGACTTAAGCACTTACAAGAATAAGATGTAATGAAGTGTTCTATAGACAACAGGCGCATCAACTTATAATCGTGTACAGCGACGAATCAATCAAAGCTATTCTGATCTTTATTTATTTGTGATGTGATGGTTCAAACATGTAACATTCAACTTGTAAGTCATGAAATCAAGCATCCCTCCTACTTTCAGCAAGATAGTATCACATTCAATCACACAGCTGGTAATTCTGATGGACTACTGTATACGCTTTAACGTGTTTGTTGAGTCGTATACATGTACCATAGCATTTACAAATGAAACATGTGCAGTGGTTTTTCATACCAGTCGAGTTCGCTTCAAGTTGAGAGAAAAATAAGGTTGATCTTACTCGAAATCGCATCAACCAACAAAGTTACTAATTCTTAAACTGAGAAGTTTAAGCAACTCTAGATTATCTAGGTAGAGTAATCTAAATTTATTTACTTCCTCCCAAGGCTGTTTAATTAATTAGCCCAGTCACTCAACTTTCAAGGGGTATGTTCTGAGTTCAAGCTTCGCTTCACTCACTTTGCCCTGGGTAACTGAAAAGTTTCCACCTCTTATAATAGGTGTGACTCGATGTCTGGTGAATCTTCATTTATTTACTCCTCTTTCCTTTCATATCCATTTCGTTCATTTTAGTGTCATTCTATTTCTGTCAAGTTCTTAGTTTTAAGGCTATTAGGTGTGGCCGGCATACAATTGTGTGAGATTTTCCTTTATCTTGAATATATAACGAATGTTTTCCGTTAGAGGGTTCTTAGTTAAAGAGAAATACTTTATTTGAGCTATAAGCATTGCTAAGGATTTTTTTAAATAACCATATACTTTATTATTATTTGTCCCTTGGGTTCCCAGTGGAACATAAAGCTTCAGTAGCACGTCCCCATTTTACTCCGTTCTCTGCAGTATTCTTAACCTGGCTCCACCAGTGCCCACAAGCTTTCATTTCTTCGTCACATGACCTCCTCCATGTGACCCTCGGACGCCCAGCTCGTCGTTTCATCTTCAAGTTCCACTTGACGGTCTGAGTTGGCGCGTGATGTTCCCGGAATAGTCTTCTCAATGTATGTTCAATTCAATCCATCTCCATTTTCTTCTACATATTTGTTAGGCGATAGGTTCTTGGTTGGTTCGTTGCCAGAGTTTCTTGTTGCTTATTCTTTCTGGCAATCCATCTGGTCTTCACTATCGAGTGAGTGTAGGCGGCAGCTGTTGATGAATGTCTGTAGTCTGTTGGAAATGCTTTTCGTGACACTCCAAGTTTCTGAACCATATAGCAGCACTGACTTGACATTGGTGTTGAAAATCCGGATCTTCTTCACGCTTTATGCTTAGTGGAGTAGATGTGCACGCTGATTTCAGATTAATGAAGGCTTGTCTTGCTTTTCAGATCCTGGTTTTGACATTCTGATCTGTGCCACCACCTGTAATTGAAACGACGCTGACTTGGTAAGTGAAAGAGACTACTTCCTTTAGATTTCCCCCGTTCATGGTGATTAATGCTTGTTGTTGATGCTGTTGTTCGTTGGGTATCTTCATCACTTGTGTCTTCTCTACATTCACTTGAAGTCCCGTTTTCGCTGCCTCGCCTCACCTCTTCTGCCAACCTGTTGGTTTTCGCTTGTAGATCTTCAACTTTCTGCGATACTAGACACAAATCATCGGCGGTGAAATCCAAATCTTCATCTGGGCTCTTTTCATCGGTCCAGCCATTGTATCCCCCTCTTCTCGCTCCTCATAATTTGCTTTATAATCCAGTCCACCATAATCAGAAATAACATGGGTGATAGTAGGCAGCAACCTTGTCTTACTGCTGTCTTCACTTCAAAGGCATCACCGAACTTTTCATTGTGAATCACTTAACATGTGGCGTCTTCATATAGCTGTTGAATGAGATTGATAAAGCTTAGTGGCACTCAAACCTTAGTGTTAAAGCAGTTGTCAGATTACTTCTCGGTCGACGCAGTCGAAGGCCTTTTCAAAATCCATGAAGTTGAGATAAAGATCCAGTTGACTGTCATTCTATTCCCCGTTATATGATGATGCATAGTGTAGTGTTGCAATTTGATCCGCACATGATTTGTTCTTCCACAAGCCAGTCTGATCCGGTGGCAATTTTGAATTCAGAGCATTGTTTAGTCTCTCTGCAGGATGATGCGGCTTAATATTTTGCTTGCTTTGATTGGACTGGGACAGGAGGATGATTCCGCACCAATTCTTGCAAAGACTGATGTCGCTCACCCTTGTTTTGGAGTTTGACAAGGTAGCTCTTCTTCCAGTCAGCAGGTAACTTTCCTTCCTTCCTTTCAAACCTTCTGTAGTGGAAGTGGTGTGAGCATGTCCAATGTTGTTTCTGCATTTGTTTTCAGTGTTTCTGGAAAAATTTCATCTGGTGCTGCTGCTTTCCTGGCTCTCAGTAACCTAATGGCATTCAGGATTTCACTTCTGCTTTAGTAGGAGGGCTTGTGTTCACTGGTAATTCTGCGGCTGGGTTGCTGGTGGTATTTGTGAACGAGTTGTAGGTGGTGGTGGATCCGAGTTTTTGAAGTGGTCAGCCTGTTGTTTCCTTTTTCTCTCATTTTTGGTAACTGGGTTTCCAACCAAGTACTTTGGTGGAGATTATTCATAACTTACAAGGTTAATTTAGCTGATGTTGCAATCTCTAATCCAGATAGTTTAACTTGTCATTACAAACAATGAAAGCTTCGACTGGCGATGGCAAAACTATCAAAACATTTATCCTTGATATCACGACTCATATGCAAAACTGGTTAATATTGAATTCTACTTTGCATGTTGAATGAAATTGAACATTATCACCTATGGAATTGTCGCTCAACAGCTCAATGACACATCTGTTTCATAAAAGCCTGATGAACACTGTGCATTTTGAAAGTCTCTAATTATAGATAATAAGACTGTCACATACTTGTTGTTGAAGTTTTTCATTTTCTTTTGATTTCAATTGTAAATCTTGTCGTAGCATAGCATTCATGTGAGTTAATTCATTTTCTCTTTGTTTCAATCTGTTCAATTCAGCTATATCCTCTGAATGCTTAAATTGACTACGTTCGAACAAGGATTGGGACTTGAATAAAAAAGATTATTTATTAAAACAATGTATATGATTCAATGTTTAAAAGTTCAATCTAAAGTATTCAGATCTAGATTTCCCTTTATACGTAGACTAGCACATCTTTGTTAACTAAAAGTGATCTCCACACTGTATGGACTCGATGATTTCCTAGTTTTAAGCTTATATGATTGATTTCATCAGTCTCAATATGTACTTATTCGGTTAGTGGCTTGACTTTTCTGGAAATTTTGTTCTGATTTTGTGTTTGGTAATAGCTAACAGTGGAATTAAAGGGACCTGTTTCTCATGAAGCAAAGAAATGAAACCTACAAACTGTAGATCATTTGTTGATAACTTCTAACTAAATGCATCTATTGCGGTTGACTAATCTAGAAGATTCAACTCACTGGGAACAAAAGAAGCCTATTTTACTTTGGTTTATCCATCTGAAGAGTCTCAAATAGGATCAAAAATGCACACTAGACTCCATTTGTGGTCATCACAATGATTAGTATGTTGGTTTTATTCTTGAAGAGTTTTATAACAGTCTAACAAACGAAACTGTATGATGAAAATAGTTTTAAAGAATCTTGAGAAATGAACACTGTGTTTATTCTTCAAGCACACAAGCAGGTAGTACTGATTAAAACTACATAAACCAGACATCCCTCTATGACCAATAATCTCAATTTCATGAACTCCAACTTATAAGGTATCTAGAGAACTTTCGAAGAAATTGAAACACCTTGTACAGTCAATCATGCGGACACTTCATCAAATCACCAACAGAAGTCTTAAAAAAGATCATAGGGATTAATATAGAAAATGACGAACTAATGGTATTCTTCAATGTCACAGCGTCATACACATCAATTGAAACACAACTGACCAAGAAAACTATGTCTCTCCTGCTCACTGAAGACACAAGGCTTTTAGAACATACAAAACTTCACTGTTCACGTTGGATGGGACTCATTGATTTTTTGTCTGAAAACATACTTTCAGTTTAATGGCAAGATATAAAAGCAGATGAAAAGAACTCCAATGGGATCATCAAGATTTGAACAAGTTGTAGAAGCAGTAATGCACAGACTGGAAGTCATTTAATTTGTGATCAAACCAAAAATTTGGATCGAATATATGGGTGATACTTCTGTCATCAGTAAAAAAAATGATTTAGGAAACACTTACAGTCTGATCAACAAATCCACAAAGGAGACAGAGTCGAATAACCAACTGACATTCCTAGATGTGTTGGTCAGTAGAACAAACGCAGGAAAACGGAAACTGAGGTGTACAGGAGGTCAGCTTACATTGAGCAAATCTTCAACTATAGTAACAACAACACACAAAATCAGTTGTCTGCAGACTTCATTCAAAAGAGCGAGAAAACACTGCAGTACAACAACTTCACAGAGAAACGGAGAAAATTACTTGATGTCTATCCCAAAGAAGAACGGTTATACATGAGACTTTGTCAGGAAATACTGTTCATCATCAACTACAAAGTCATCCACAGAAATCGAAAAACGTGTAATCCTATCGTACATAAATAATATATCAGAAATTACGATAAGATTACTGAAACCATATTATGCAGACCAAAGGATGCAGCAGCGAAATAAGGTAAGCCAAATATCATTTATAAAATTAAGTGCAATAACTGTGATCAACACTAAATTAAGCAAAGTGGTCGCCCCCTTTGCTTTCGCCTACATAAATACAGGTTGACTGCTAGATGTCACAACATCTCATCGTTCAATCCCATGCATGTGGATAATTACTGATATGAATTCAATCTCGACAATGTAGAAATCTTGGACAGAAGGAAACACAAAGAGTATTAGAGAATTCTTAGAAGCTTGGCGTTTAGATCAGTCAGGAATCAATAGGTGTATGGACATAGACCCACTCTATCACTCAGTAAAAAAGAAAATAAACAACAGAAGGGTCAAGTCAACAAAAAACCAATCCAATTAATGACATAACAATCAAAGGAAACAACCAATCACAAACCAGTTAATTTGGGTAAGCTACTGAATCACTCACGGAGAGATATTGATAGGTCGTTTCATTTCGAAGTTAGTGCTGTTGATGCTGTCTAGGAAAACACTAAAAGCTTTACGACTAGACCACTCAGCGCAGAAAACAGAACCAAGACTGATTACCTCCTACAGATAATGCCAGAAAGTATCGGCATTACTTAGTTGTGATTCCTCCTGGAATTTAACTCAGTAAACTAAAGCTCGTCTGGGAACATGTTGATCTTTGGTCTGATAAGTTGAATACAAATGACTTGTAGATTTGAGAATACTTTTGTAAATAGTCAATAGTAATCACCTATAGATGTTGTCATGCATACTTTATGCGGCATTACTGACATTAGAGGTCACTGTTCCATGCAGACAGTGTGAAGAAATAGTAATTTTGAGTGTGATTCTAATTAATTTCTTTATTGATTGTAATATTTTTACATTTACTTGAACGAAATAATGACCACTAAAGTCAGTCACGCCATATTCAGCTTAAATTCCAGATACCGGCCTGTCCTATAGACTGGTCCTTAACTAATACTAGTCACTGGAAATGGACCATCAATGTTCAGGTGAAGTTCAAACAACATGTGCAACAGCTGAGTAGTATTCAGTGACAATGAAATGAAAAGTAGGATTAACTGCTGCAGATTACGAGTTGACGGGGAAGAAAATGTTGTGGACATTACTACTACTACTACTACTACTACTACTACTACTACTACTACTACTACTAATAATAATAATAATAATAATAATAATAATAATAATAATAATAATAAAAGGAAGTCAAATAAACAAAGCAACATACTTCTTCAGCCATTTTTCTCAACCTTTCCAATTCATTACTTAAATATACATTTTCTTTTAATAGTAAATCGTTTCGATCAGTTTGTTTATCTTTAGTGTATTGGTCATTTTCTGATTTAAGAAAAGCATCACCTAACTTTTGTTCAAGTTGACGTATTTTATCCTTTTGTAAAAAAATCGAACAGAACAGTTTTAACATATATTGTGTACATAGTTCTTAGCCAAGGAAAAAGAAGCAACTGATTCCAGTAAACCCTTAATATGCTACATCATCATTCATTCATATTTATGTTCATAAAATTGTTAATAAACGGTTATCTTTCTCACAAAGAGCGGACCATTGCAGAAGCTTTGCACATCTGTCCATATCCTTCTTCAATCAACAGAAAAGATGGGATAGACATCCCACTAATATGGCAAACATTAATGACTCCCCTAGGCAGTTATAAGTAATATCTGAAGAGAAGGTAGAACACAATTTCATTCCACATGATTTATTTATTCCGAATTCACTCTTGTCTGAATAGTCTCCGGTGATATTTCTCTTAATCGTCTTAACCACGAGGAAAAAAGAGAAAAGAAAGAGGAAAACAGAGAAAAAAGGTTGCATTTAAACAGCTTGTCTTGTCCTATCACATAGCACCTTATTGATCTACTATTTTCATCAATTTTACACTACTCTCTGAGTCATATACATTCGATGAACCATAACATAATCCATTTTAGTGTTATTGCTTGTATAATCCATTTTGTTATCACTCATACTTCAAGTGTTATCAAAAGTACATTTATAGTTATCATTATTATTATTATTATTTATTTATTTAAGATATATTGTCTCATCTTCAAATATTCATCCTTCCAAACTAGTAATCTATTCTTTCTCACCCTTGATGTCTCACAACCCCATTGTTGTTTTCATAGACGAACTAAAAAAAAATTCTCCCCACCCTATTTTTGTTCCACCTTACTATCACAATGGAAAAAAGCCTCTCTCACGAACTAACTAGATGATTGTAAAGGTCACTACCTGCTATACCAAAACTTGAATATTAACCTGAATGTCAGATTAATACTCTCGAAAAGGATCTTCCTAGCAAGATCGAAACGTTGAGGAATAATGAAAAATATTTGTTTATTTTGTTAATATACTACACCGGGATTACACAAGTAAGAATACACCTTATACAATGAATCATACTAACTCGGTGTCCAAGTTTTTTCAAACCATCCAGTCCATTGTTGGTCAGGATACCTTCAAATAATAATAACAATGGCTTTATTCAATAAACTACAGATATTCATCAACAACTGCTTACGCTGGCTACTGAAGATCAGATGGCCAGAATAATAAAAATAAGCAATAAGGAGCTTTCGGAACGAACCAATCAAGAACCTATCGCTCAACAAATATGCAGAAGGAAGTGGAGATGGATTGGGCATACACTGAGAAGGCCGACTGGGGACATCACGCGTCAGGCCGTCGAGTGGAATCCCCATGGGAAGCGACGAGTTGAACGTCCGAGGGTGACATGGAGGAGATCGTGCGAGGAGGAAATGAGAGCTTGTGGGCTGTCGTGGAACCAGGTCCAAAAGATTTCGGAGAACAGAGGTCACTGGAGACATGCTACTGAAGTTCTACGTTCCATTAGGAACCCAAGGGGCTAATAATAATAATAGTACAGAATTTTCACCATATTATGCAGCATCAGTTGAACAGAAACAGAGTATATGTACAAATAACAAAATCAAATAAGTAGAAATTACACAAAAAGATGAGAATATTCACTAAATTCATAACTTTCTTGAAAATGCAGAGTAAACAATCACATTAGCAATTCGATGCACAATATATAGATAATGGCAAGTTTGCTTTCAAAAATAGAAGTTGATTAGTTAGTAGTTCATTTCTAATACTTCCTTCATCACACAGCAGACGAGTTAACTACACTATTGTAGAGTTTTATACTTCGTAGTACCTGCATGAAGTCCTATACACTCAATCACGGTTTTACCTCATGACTGGCAAGCAGACAGGGTTGAATGAACAGCATCCTGGTCATCTGATAAAATAACTACAACCAGATATCTACATGAGTTAACATGTTTGTTCACAACAGTTTCAATTAGAAAGTTTACAGGTACACTACTTGTTCTGCTGACAATCTTCAAAGTCCTACGCAACACAACATAGTCTATTTTCTCCAGCAACTCAGGAAGGAAGAGAGGAGAACAGTTGAGATGAACGAGTTCATTAAACGTAAGAGTAGAGGTTGAGTTATACCGAATACTCTCAGCCTCCTAATAAAGGAAGTTAGGCAGAAGATTCTTTTGAAGATTAGTAAGATATGGGAGGACCAGGAGAGGTCCGAAGAAAAACATACACTGAAATAAATCACATTTGTGACACACTCCAATACACAACTATCATTGGAACAGAAATCATGAGAACTAAGCAGTTTACATAGGTTATGTTCATGTCTAAAACTGAAGTCTGTGGTCTGATATTGTGAGGAATTATGTGCAAGACCATCCACAAAGGACTATCGTCTAACAGTTGGTAGAAAATCATTCATTGAGAACAATCTGCTGAAGGGGAGACAGGTATGAAAACTCTCAAGTCATGATCATATTTCATGAAATTCATTCCAGCTGAAGATGTTTAGGTGTGTAGAAAGAACGAGAAAAGATCTGGGGAAAGAGCAGCCTCAATAAACAATGAGGTGGAGCGCTTCCCTTTGTGAACAGTATATTGTTTCCATTCAGAGAACTTGGAATACAGTCAGTTGATTATCCAGGACTTAGTATGTGTCCCATTTAGGTTGTCCAGCAAAAGATGTCCTTAGACAGAATCAAATGCTGAAGTATGGTGTAAAGGACACACGTGACATACTTGGCATTTCCTATGATGATTACATGCAGTATTGTGATATAGACAGTGGTGGGATCCAGAGTGGTTCTTTTGCTTTTATAAGAAAACTGACCAGGTGTTTCAGGTAATATTATCAGTACAATGACTTTGGATGTAGCTAGTTTTTTCTAGCTCTACATTTATTCCAATTTGACGCTTTGTTGTCCCTAACTCGGACCTTTTAAATATTGCTCCTATTTTTTAAGTTTAAATTTGTACTGATGATAAGTGACACTTGGAGAGTCATGATTAAACTATTTAACTGAGGAGAAATAATATCAAGAAAATGATTCTCTTGATTACAAAATATTCTCAATCTTCTTACGTATCATCTAACTTTTCAAACAAGTCTTCTAAGTGAAACCTAGTTCAGTAATTTGTGATGAACGTAATGTCTCTTTTAGATATTCTGATCAATTGTTCTTTTCTTATAGTGCCACGCATATAAGCCTTAGAGTCATATCTATAAACGTACTTACGAGCTCTTTTCAGTATGGCTTATTGGAGAAGAGAGAAAGATCATTGATACATAAGTTGTGGAACACTTTTTTATATCCAGTCATTGAATTAAGTTCGACGATCCATTCAAAATAATTTATAGGTATTCAGCACGTTGAAATCAATGGTTTTGTTTAGCGGTAGTGATACCAGTTGGAGAACCATTGAAAATCTGATATCAGTCCATGATGAATACTACCTCTTACTTAAAATCCCCATTCATCTCAAAAATGGTTTTATGACAAGAAGGAATAAAATTAGGAATTAACACTAAGTAAAAGTTTTCGAAACTCGAATTTCTCAAATCATCCAGCTTCAGTAGTAAAGATAATCGTATTTATGCATTTGATAATTCTCCAAACCAGTCAGATGAAATAAACCGATCATCCTTTCACAGGTGAGTGATTTAGGGGGATGACTATCAACCTCTGGGTGGTGGGTTCGAGCTTCGTTCCACCTAACAAGGTATGGGCAGCTAGGTAGTACCATTAGCCTTCATACAATAGCTGTGCCTCATTATCTACTACATGAATATGCACAACGCAGCTGAGTGCATATATCACAGCATTTTCATACACATGAAAGCAGAGTACACAACACTGTGGTAAGTATTATGAATTGGAGTAACTCCTTTGGGAGGACAATGCGACTAAGCTCATAAACGGGGAGAGTATGAGGATACCTATCAGTATGGTGTGGACTGATTGTATTTGTCTACTAATAGTTCAGTTTGTTATAGTATGTTTAAATAGTGATACCGGGATATGTTATGTAGCTTACAGTAGAAACGCAAAATGTGAACTCCTGAGATTAGTGTTAGTTCTCTTGATAAATAAAGAAACTAACTTTCGATACAAAATCCAAGCTCATTGAGATATACATTCCAGTGATTAAATATATGGTTTCTCCAGTAGGAGTACCCAGAGGATACTGTCCCTTCAGGTGAAGATGCTGACAAAATGCAGTATCTTCTGAACGCCTTGAGCAGAAACCTGAGTATGTTTGGCACCTGCCAAATGTAAGATGATGCACCAGAACTGGCTTGCTGCAAGTACTCCCAGTTTACTTTTAGGAAGTGAAGTGGTGGAATATGTCGACTGCATCACTTACTTGAGGAATTTCATTGACCGGAACAGGCTGGATGGTGACAAAATTTCAGCTGCAACACAGAAGCTCCGTTTGGCATCTGCCAACTTGCAACATCTCTGACACTGGTTGCCTATCAAGCGATGAGTATGTTGCACTGCAGTTCGTTCTTTCCTGCTATACAGCTGTGAGATATTGCCATTAAAAGTACAGGACATGATGCGATTACTGGGTTTTGATCACTAGCGTCTCCGTAGCATTGCTCGCGTATGTCGGAACCACCAGCGCTGAGGTCAGGTGAAAGGCAATAGGCAAGGAAGGTCAGTTGATGAGATTGTGAACCTTAGTCGACTGAGATGGCTTGGAAATGTACTGCGCATGACTAACCACCACCTACCTCTATGTCATGCCTGGGGAAGTTTTATTAAGTCGGAAAAGGGTTTAGAGTGACCAGACCAAGAAGTGACTCCAAATCATGAAGTTTTTGACTGTTGGTCCTAGCCTTACACGGAGGTGTAGACTACCTGGCTGGCATCCATGAGGCGACAAGTATCAGTTGCAGAGGTCTTTTGGTGATATGACTGAAAGTTAATCGCAATGGCACCGATGTATTCACTTTTTGACGTCTTCTGAAACTTGAATGTTTTCACTAACCTTCATTTTCAAACCCCTTCTCCTCTCATACAACTTTGTGTACTCTGATATCAATCATTTTCGCCTCACTTATTCTTTTCTTGCTACTGTGGAGTGCGGCTACTTGAACCAATGGACTTGTGTGAGAAGTTCTACGTCGATTTTGTCTATCTGTCTCCTTCCAGTATTTCCATGGAAACCAAGTGCTAAGCAGTAATCTTTATCGTTTAAAGCCGAGAACTTTATTTTTGTTTACCAGCATTCGAATCAAAATACACGTGTCCATTAGTTTAGCATTAAACAAAATGTTATCATAAATCAATCAACTGTTGAAAAGCGTTCAGTATGAAAACCTGAGTAATCAGACAGAATATCTAATGTCGAATCCTGCAGATATGTCAGGACATTTGAGGTGGTGTTTTTAACGCTAGTTTTAAATGAGTATACTATAGAAGCATCATAAAATGTAACAAGGAAGACAGCTTCCAAGGGAAATGCAAAAATGATGCTAACCCATTCTTTCTAAACTACAAGAGTTACGCGATTAAAGGTATTGGAAATATTTGAAAATTATCAAGCGTTTAATGATACCTTGTCTACTCAAAAAGATGAAATCATTCAAGCAAAATAACTTCTGCTGAGAATCAGTCAATACTAGGTCATGACTGATGGTTTAACGGAAATATGAACTATGACAGGATTTTAACCAGCAGTCTCTGGGTTACTAGAATAATCTTCTGTGGACTGTGTTGTGAGACACAACTACTGATCAGGTCTAAACTTCAGTCATTGATCAATTTCACTTGGCTGTCTCGTGAATGCGTAAAGCAGGAGAGACTACTTTTTGGAAAATCATAATCAGTAGTGATGTAAAGTAGAGTCAGGTTATCAAGCATTCTCCGTCTCGGCAACCCAGTGTTTTTAACCTTACTATTTCTACTCAGTGTTGTATTTTCTTACCGCTAGTTTGCACTATTCGATCGCTACCAGTTATTGTAGTTTTCCACGCTGTTCTTTATACTACTGATATGCATTCTCATGACTAGCATCCTCTGCACTACTACTCTAAACAAGTTAATTCAGTGTTTTTCAAACTCAGCATAAACTGAATCATTCAGAGAAAATCAGCTGTTACCTGCTGTGATCAGTCAAAGAAGCACTGAAAAGCAAGGATCGGGTTTGTATTCATCATCTAGGAATACACTAAATCCTATGGAAGATTTAGCTTGGTCATTCAACACTCCTGAGGAGTATTTCATCTGTCACATTTCCATAGTAGTTTTAAAATTCGCATCCACTGCCATCACTTTTTAGTTACTCTTCGACTTATTTCAGACAATGATGTAAACTTCACTCAAATAGATGGATTCCCTAAGGATCATGAAATCAAAAGAATTCAATAGATTAACCATAGACATTCCATTTCAAGAGAGAATGTGAGTAAACATGTCTTGTATCCATAAATCAACTCAAAAAAATGAACAGTCCAACACTGAACCTTTCACAGAGGTTAAGCGGTTCACCTTGTCAAGCGCCATATATTTAAATTGACATAAAAAGGGTAGACAAAGAAACAGTGCCAATTTACATCGAGTTACAGTAAATTTGGTAGCTAGCAGTAGAATACAATTACGCATTTCGTCTCATTTGGGACTCGTCGGTTCGATGTACCTGCACTCCACTAAGTGATGTTGTCCCACTGAGATTCGAACCCAGTACGCGTCACTTCAAACTCCAAAGCGTTGTCCACTAGACCCCTGGGGTACAAAAGCCACAATATGTGCAGCGCCTACCAGTTTTTGTTTATTCCTACTTGTAATTTCTTGTTGCTATACAGGGTTGAATTGCTTGACCTACCGTCTAATAACAGAGGTCAAACAGTTCAATCCTGTAAGAGGAAGGGGAATTACAAATATCAATAAATGATAATCATCATAATTTATTATTCATTTATTCAGTAAACACTCACCTTAAATTCAGTTTGTGGTCTTGATTGTATTCGATTTAATTCCTGTTGATAATGAGCTTCTAATTGTCTTAGTATTGTATTGAATTCAATTAACTCTCTACGACTGTCAATAAGTGATTTTTCTAATTCATTTGCTCTTTTTGTTTCATCATCTAACTGTAAAATAAGGAGTAGAATAGGTTAATAAATGCCCGAACAATCCGTCAATCAGATATTTCACTAATACACTCCAGTATAGTGTAATTAGGAATAAAGACTGCAAATTAATTCTTAGACAATAAACAAATCGGATTTATCATGAAGTTCATGAAAAACACTAGTAATCTTATTGTAGAGTAAGCATTCATCTAAAACATGCAACCGTTTGCATATTATCTTCATAATGTATACTACATAAACAAGATAACATGTGTTACATATGACTTTGAAGGTTACAGATTCATAAACACACAGAAAAGGCAGCTGTGAACAATTCTGTTAAATAAAGAAGCTAAGTATAACTATTTTGTTTTGAGTAGTACTCAACTAAAAACTTGAAATTCACAGTAAATATTTCACTGTTAGAGGTGAATAAAAAGAGGAAACTGAAAGAAAGTAGATTTGGAACTGCTTAAAATCTTTTGAAAATGCTAACGTGATAAGCACACATGAAACATATATCTGCTAGGGAAACTAAATGTTCAGAAAATAAGGAACTTATAACTAACTTGTCACTAGCTGCATTGATACTGATCTTTTCAGACTACTTGAGATTTCTGGTATTCCTATGTATGTATGGGCATATCAGCTACAATTTTTCGTGCCACTGGTCGAATAGAATAACAGAGCACAAAAACTTAGCTAAATCAAGGTTATTAGATCCTAATAAGATGAGAAATTTAGAGAAGAGCTCGGTCATAGCTCTGCATGCGATGACAAATAATCGCACAGTAGGGTGGGATAAGGCGAGTGTTGAAAACTAACTTAGTTGGGTGGAGGGAGAGATTGATAACCGACTGATTCTTTGTTTATCGAGTCAACACGAAATACATGCAATCGAAATGATTCTGCATCTGTCCCATATATATGGAGAATTCTACTACCCTTGTCATCATAGAGAAGGAGAGAAAATTAGGAATATATAAACTATATCTCGAAGTTGCGGAGTCACCTGATATGAATATGGACAATAAATTGTGTCCGAAAAGTTATCCAGTAAGTGCTGCTGTTTCACTGTATGATATTTCTAATAAACAGACTTAAATGGAATTAAAACCGACCTCGCCTGGTTAACTTGTTCACTAGTTACTAGCCGGTCCTAAGCCCGGGTAAAGAGGGAAGGTTGGGTATATGGCTAGCAACCCTACCCCGGAAAACAAATATAACCGCTAGAGAAATTTCAAAGCACAAACGAAATATCAAAAATAAAAACAAAATTATTCCTCGCGGGAATTGGAGAGGTGAAATGACGCCAGTTGGTGAAAGACTTCAGGCAGCCAATTGGCCGATGTATCTTCTCTCGATGAAAGCGAAAGTAAAAGTGGGGATATGGAATGTCCGCACTATGTTTGAACCTAGCAAGGCAGACCAGATTGCAAACGAGATGAGAAGGTATCACACTGAAGTGCTTGGGATTTGCGAAAGCAGATGGGATCGGAGCGGACTCTCCAAACTGTCAACTGGAGAATCAATAATCTACTCCGATGTTGTCACCCAGACGACGACCACGAGCACACTGAGGGAGTGGCTATCATGATGTCCCCTCCCAACAGCATCGAAGGCTCTCATGCAGTGGGAACCAATCTCCTCCAGGATCATGACAGCAAAGTTCAACTCAAAAGGAAGGAAGGTCACAATCATAGAACGCTACGCCACACACCTACAAATAATGCAGAGCAAGAGAAAAAGGAGGGATTCTACAGACAACTTCAATCAACACTGGACAACACGTCAGTTGGCGATATCAAAATTCTTATGGGTGACATGAATGCCAAACTGGGAGGGGACAACACAGGAAGAGAACTAACCATGGGTCGAGAAGCGCTCAGTGAGGTGATGAACGAGAATGGAGAATTGTTTGCAGAATTCTGTGCATTCAACGATTTGGTGATTGGAGGCCAGGCAGTGTGTTCAAGCACAAGGGTATCCACAAAGTGACATGGATTTCACCAGACACCAGGACACACTACACTAAAAGTCAGATCGACTTCATCTCAATTTGAAGAAAGTGGAGACGCAGCCTACTGGACACAAGGTCAAGTAGGGGAGCAGATGTAGACTCAGACCACTATCTAGTGCAAGAAACCTTCCAAATCAAATTGAAAGCCTTAAAGGAAGTTGGTGATAGACCACAGTCCAAGTAAAACACTCGGAAACTGAAGGACGAAAGTGCGAAGAAAATCTTCACGTCAGCCGTCAAGACAAAATGGGAGGTATCGAGCAGCATCCCTGAAGAAACCTGTATGGATGAGTACTGGAACTCTTTGAAAACTATATGAAAAAAAACCTGTATAACCCTATTAGGAAGGAAGAAGAAGGAAGATAAGGAATGGATCTCGATGGACACATGGAAGCTGATAGAGCGGGGAGAGGAGGATGGTGAAGCAGAAGATAAACCTGTGCAAGGATGAACAACGACAAGAGGGACTGAGTACAACGTATAAAATGCTGGACAAAGAAGTGAAGCAGAGTGCACGGAAAGACAAAAGACACTTCTACCACACATTGGCAAGTGAAGCAGAACAGGCTGCAGGTAGGAGAGATAGAGACCTGACAACATTGTATCAAACAACCAGGTTACTATCAATACCGATGAAACCAATAAAAGATGATGAAGAAAATATAATTACCAAGGAGCAGAAACAAGGGAAACTATGGGCTGGCCACTTCAAGAAACTCTTGAATCGACCATCACAACCACCTGCACTTCTTCCAGAAATACCACCTACAGCCAAAGAAATACAAGTGAACATAAATCCTCCAACAAAAGTGGAAGTCCTGAACGCCATAAAGCTACTGAAATGCAGGAAAGCAGCAGGACCAGATGGGATCCCGCCAGAAGCACTGAAAACAGACGCAGAGACAACAGCGGAAAAGCTCACACCACTACTGCAGAAGGTGTGGAAGGAAGGGAAAGTATGTCGCGATTGGAAGAAGGGTTACCTTGTCAAACTGCCGGAGAAGGGAGACCTCAGTGTTTGCAAGAACTGGCGCGGAATCACGTTCCTGTCCACCCAAAGCAAGCAAAATATTAAGCCGCATCATCCTGAAGACTCTAAAAAATGCACTGCATTCAAAACTACGACTAGAACAGGATGGCTGGCTGGCTGGATTCAGCAAGTACAAATCATCTGCAGACCAAATTACAACACTACACTACTCATCATCATAGAACAGAGTACAGAATGGCAGTCAACTCAATTCAACCTCAACTTCATCGACTTTGAGAAGGCCTTCGACAGCGTCGACCGACAAGTAATTTGGAAACTGCTTCAACACTACGGAATACCACAAACATTTATCAATCTCATTCAACAACTATATGAAGACACCACATGCCAAACAAGTAATTCATAATGGGAAACTCAGTGATGCTTTCGCAGTGAAGACAGGAGTAAGACAGGGTTGCCTACTATCACCCATCATCTTCCTGATTGTGGTTGACTGGACTGGATCACGCAACAAACTGTGAGGAGCGAGAAGAGGGGGATACGCTGGCTGGACCGGGGAAAAGAAACTAGAAGATTTGGATTTCGCCGATTATGCTTGGTGTCTAATGTCACACAACCTCGAAGATCTACAGGCAAAAACTAACAATTTGACAGAAGAGACGGGGCGGGGCAGGGCAGGGTAGGGTAGGGCAGCGAAAGAAGACGGGACTTCAAGTGAATATAGAGAAGACAGAGGTGATGAAGATGCCAAACCAACAACAAGGACAACAACAACAAACTCCAATCACCATCAACGGGAGAAACGTAAAGGAAGTAACCTCCCTCACCTATCTAGGCAGCACTGTTTCAACTACAGGCAGTGGCGGCGGCTGCATAGACGAGGACGTCAAATCAGGCAGGATTGGAAAAGCGAGACAGGATTTCATTAGCCTGAAACCAGTGTGGAAATCCTCTGCACTCAGCACAAGGCGTGAAGAAGATCCGGATTTTCAACACCAACATCAGTCAAGTCAGTGCTTCTGTATGGCTCAGAGACTTGGTGCGTTACGAAAGGCATTTCCAATAAACTACAGACATTCATCAATAACTGCCAACACTCGTTACTAAAAATCAGATGGCGAGAATAATAAAAATAAGCAATAAGGAACTGTGGGAACGAACCAACCCAACCAAGAACCTATCGCCCAACAAATATGCAGTGGAAGTAAGTGGAGATGGATTGAATTGGGCATCCACTGAGAATGCCGACTGGGGACATCATGTGTCAGTCCAGGTGGTCGAGTGGAACCCAGATGGGAAGCGACAAGTTGGGTGTTGGAGGTGAGGGTGACATGGAGGAGATGGTGTGAGGAGGAAATGAGAGGTTGTGGGGTGTTGTGGAGCCAGGTTGAAGAGTTTGCATATGAGAGAGTGGAGTGGAGACGTGCCAGTTAAGCCCTATATTCCACTAGGAACCCGAGGGACTAATAATAAATAAAATTCTGACAAGATCAATTCGCAAAACAAAGTGGAGCTAACATTTTACATTGCCAGCCACTGTATAGGATTTATTTCTTGTTTATGGCGCAAATGAATAAATAGTCATCATTTTTAATTCACTAGTAAATGGGCAAAGTTGACAACGGTGGCATTGTATTTACTAGCTATTAACTTTGAACAGCGTTTAAATTGTAAAGTAGACAACTTCCATCACTAAATTTCATCATGTAAATAAACTGGATAACTAAGTAACTTTCTGTCCTCTTTTACTTTTCATTTTCGACAGCCTGTCTAAATTTTGCGCTACCAAAAATATTTCATGATAAATTTTTCTTTTGAGAGGGTTGTGGAGATTTAGAAATATTTTCAAGTTAGAATTCATCGTAGACTGACATCAGTTGGAGGAACAATGGAAACCCGGGAGCCCTGAACAACAGTTTCGTCCTAGTATGGGACTTCTCAGCAGTGCGCACCAGTGACCCAGTAGCTCAATGGTAACGTCCTGGTCACGGAACCTGAAGGTTACGGGTTCTATCCCTGGCAGGATCGTGGGTGCGCACTACTGAGGAGTCCTATACTAGGACAAAACAGCTGCCCAGTGCTCCTAGGTTTCCCCTGTTCCTCTAACTGATATCAGTCTACGATGAATACTAACTTGAAGATAAATTTTTCATTAAGTTACTCCCTTTTTTACACTATTTAACCATTCAAATGTCAACTAATCGTAAAACGTACTCTCGTACACTCTTTAAAATATCTACAACCTATCATTACACAGAGAAACAAGAAGACATGATCATACAATAATGCATCATATAGCTCTTACAGGAACATGTTTCTGGAACAACAAATTTTCGTACTACATGAATGAATCTTCACCATCAAACTTGGGTATGCTTTCTATCCGACTCAAGTGCAACAATGATGATGATAATAATCACATTATTCTAAACAACAAGTTTCATACAGTATGGAATTTCCAGCATAGAATATTTCAGCAAATTAGCTTTACGTAAAATATTTTTTAAAGAAATAATTATCCCATTCGCATAGTGTTAATAACAACAGTATAAAAGGCATGAATGTGAAATGGGCAGCTGGTGTTACATTAGCATGTGGTTTTGAATCGGAAATGAATATGATCCATTTGAAGTAATTTGCTTCCCTAGATTAATTTCGACTAAGCTGAGTAGCCTAACGAAATATTGATGAGTGAGTCGTAATCAAAGTGTGTATTAGTCGTAGTTGATAATATTTTGGAAATGAATGGAAATAAACATTTGGTGGTAGTGGGAGAAGTCTAAAAAAATAGTTGCTAAGACTACTTCGCCTACTTCAACTGTGCTCAGAGTAATATAATGGGACATGACATTATCTTTCACCTGTTAAAAGAGATTTGATGGGCCTTCGTTTGTTCACTTTCCGTCAAGAAGTAAAAATTCACACCCGATAATAATATTTCAGGGGGATATTTTATGGAGCAAATAATAAAAACAAACAGAACTGACCTTCTTATCACTACACCACCTATTGGCCGGCGTCCACTAGCCTTAAAGGAAACAAACTTAAGCCTTGCAAATGTGAATCTCGCACAACGTAGTGTGTGTACGTCTGTTTCTCATACTCCTTCAGGGTGACCTTCAAAGACTCGGCAAGACAAAAACGCTCCATAAAAATCGATTCGTTTTCGGTTACAACACTTTGTACAGTATCGCCGCTCATCATCAACTCTTCCCCCATTTGCTCCCTTTTATACTACTTTTCGATTTCGTGCAACCAATAACATGGGACATTTCGTCGTCTATTTTAATTGGACAACAAGTGACACAGGGAGTGAGAGGGAAAGGGTAGAAAATAACAGTAAAAAAAATTATTACCGTGGTCCAAATTTATTTCCAAAATTAGGGATACACAGCATTGTTTCGCAATAGTAAAGTCTATATCTTTTTGTAAAATACTTCTCAATCCACATGAAATAAATAAGCATTTGGTAGTTAAAACAATCATAAAATAAACCTTTTTATTCAAATTACCTTAGCTCTTAAAATATCTAATTGTATTTCCATAGCAGTTATATTTGATTTCTGATTAGAAATTTGGTATTGTAATCCTTTTAGTTGTTCATCCTTTTGATAACTTTCTCGTAAAGCCAATTCACGTTCTCCTCTAAGCGTCATACATTGACGACTTAATTCATTCTTTTCTTTATCATGAAGTACTTGTAACAATTTGTAAAAGAAACTCAACAAAATTACAATTCTTAGCATATACTAGCTAAATAATAAAATAATTTCATGCATATATTTCTGTCTTATAAACTTGGAAAGACGAATGAGTTGAGCAAAACATAAGGTGATATCATTTTATTGAATCTGGTTGATTTAAGCTCCTTACAACCATAAGATATATTACTATCAGATTATAGTAGACTCCTAAGATAGTTGAGTAATTTCAACATATACAAGCATAATAAGATTGAAAGTAAGAGGAATGGAAACGCAGATAATAAAGCATGTAAAGCCTGTATCTATTTTTTATGTGTTTTTGAGGAGAACATTCTTGTCAAACGGATTGAAACTGATATACACTCACCAATCTTGTGTAAATTTGCACAGTAAGCAACAAGCTATACCAATTATGTGACAGCTAATGATACTACCTGGCTGCTCATATCTCGGTTGATGGAAAGGAGTTTGGCTCCATAACCGACTAGTTTGAAGTCATCTGATTAAGCCAATAAACCACAGCTACTCGTCAAACTGATGATGAAAAGGATGATGTAGATATTAGAAAGGAGGTTAAGTAATTAGATTCGGTTAACTGATAAGTTTATGTCAACTTAGAAACAAAATATATAAAGAACGATAAGCTGATCTCGAAGTTTAACGTAAATTTAGAAAGCTTGCCACTAGTAATAACGATGATGACCTATGATGTAACGCAATAGGAGATATAATGAATTCAAACTTCGCATTATTGATTGGTTTGGGCCTAATTTATTAGCTATTGCTGACATATGAGCACCAGTGCGGATCATATAATAAAGCTGGTAATTTCATTCTAATATCAACGATGAATAATGACTAGCAGTGGAATCTAGGACGTACATTCCGCCCTGTTTAAAGCTTGTCAGCTAGTCTTACCTGCCTTTCAGTGTGTGCTATTGTTACCACTGAAACTCGAAAGCCGCTTCCCTTGCGACGGGCTTAGTCTTGATATCATGACTTATTATCTCGCGTCACTGATCTCATTATTAATATCCAAAAGAAATTAGTGGTTATGTCAAGGCATCCATACAGGACAATGGTGGCCGGCATACAAGATAAAAGCCAAAAAAAAACAGGAAATAACGAGTCATAATACCAACGTATATCCGTTTCACAAGGAGTGGCTATAGTAAGTCGTTTGTCTAGTGGATAACACTTTGACGTTTGAAACGATGGATGCTAAGTTCGATTCGCAGTGCGAAAAACCACACACTAGGACACACGTAAGTCTAGTTAATGCATAGAAAATAGGACCAAATCTGCATCCTAGATTCCCTTACTAGTCACTATTCATCCTTAATAAATAGGAAAAGAGATTGTGATTGAGTTACTAGGATAATAATAGATCACTGACTACTTCCTTTGGATCCACAAATCTAGTCTCAGCCTTTTGTTTGCAAGAGTTTTATTGGAACTGAGGTGGGTCAAATTGCATCCCATTGGTTCTGACCCAGTGGTTCAATAGTAACGTGTTGACCATGGAACCCAAAGGTGGCAGGTTCGATCCCTGGAGGGCGGGGTCACGGGTGAACACTGCTGAGAAGTCCCATACCAGGACAAAACGGATATTCAGTACTCCCAGGTTTCCAATGTTCCTTCAACTGATGTCAGCCCATGATGTAGACTAACTTGAAAAGTCATTGAATTTCCAGAAACCCATCAAATTATTCGTATTTAGTTGTGTCATATTGGTTAACAATTCTTCAGGGGAATTCACTTTCTGTCAAATATTTTCTGATTATCACTAGCTCGGTTGTCCATTTAGTAATTGAACATATCCATTCTGCTCTATACAACAGAGTTGTAACTAGTGCGCGATTCATGTTGATTGTTGAAATTCAGAAAGAGAACATCTTATGCATTCTTTCTATGGACAGATCTTTGGAAGGTGGTAATTGTTCGACCTTGAATGAAAGTATCTAGAAAGTTAAACAGACCGCCATGTTCATGTTTCATAGTGAATCTAGTGTTATTGTATTCATTACTGAAGCCTTTGAGAGACTGTAAGTTACCATACACACTGAATGTTACATCTAAATATCTACTGAGGAATATTGTTTCTCCGATTGCATTTTTCCCCTTCGATATTTCAAGATATACCGCAAATATGTTCGCCAAAATAGGATTAAATGAGCTACTTATGGTGAAACTGAACAGTCTAATTATACTTTAGTGCGTTAGCATTTTTCAGTTACAGGGTAACATAACTTAAAACTGAATTTGAAGAAATGATATGAGGATGACAAGTATCATTTTCCACATGCTAAATAAAAAGATTGTGATGTAAATCTGTACCTTTCTTCGGAATAAAATTATTTACCAATATTCGAACTTCATGCCAGTAAACTCGGGTTGACTGCAGACGAACGATAATTGTAGTCTTTATATCGTACGCGATGGATTGAAGAAATTCACCACCTCAGCATGTCTAACAATTCATAATATTACACGATAATTACATACATACTCGTATTTAAGCGGGTGCAACATTGCCCATTACGGTCTATACAAGGATCACTACGTTTGTAATTACAGATTAAATAGTTACAGTATAACAACACCCGATGAGATTGCGATTGGGCAGGATATTTGTTATGATTGACTCTAAAAATCAACCTAACAACTACCAAAATAACCAATCAGTTCATTTATATATTGAAAGCTATGTTCGCAAGCTAAATAAACGAATCTAATTAATGATTTCAGTGGTCGCAATGACGGCAAGAACAGCTACTGCTTTACGCATATCCCAGAAACCCATCGGACATCATTTGAATTATTTAAGTACAAATCTTTGTATAACAGGTTTGAAATACATGCCAAATGTTCCGTCTTCGTCACCGACTGCTGAGTCTCATCTTGTTTTAATCAAAACTGAGTAGGACTGAGAACAGCCATCATTCAAGTTTATGATTTCAGGAGCTTTATCCTTCTGAAACAACCTTCACTATACCTCATATTTGGTAAAAAAGATGACCCTGTTAAATCAAGGATTTAAAAACTGATTATTATTTGACAATTTTTAACTATATTGGTTTCATGACATGAAGTGTTATTATTATTATTACTTGTGCTCTGGGTTCCTAATGAAGCATAGGGCTTAACCGGGACGTCTCCATTCCACTCTCTCATATGCAAACTCTTCAACCTGGCTCCGCAACACCCCACAACCTCTCATTTCCTCCTCACACCATCTCCTCCATGTCACCCTCACCTCCAACACCCAACTTGTCGCTTCCCATCTGGGTTCCACTCGACCACCTGGACTGACACATGATGTCCCCAGTCGGCATTCTCAGTGGATGCCCAATTCAATCCATCTCCACTTACTTCCACTGCATATTTGTTGGGCGATAGGTTCTTGGTTGGGTTGGTTCGTTCCCACAGTTCCTTATTGCTTATTTTTATTATTCTCGCCATCTGATTTTTAGTAACGAGTGTTGGCAGTTATTGATGAATGTCTGTAGTTTATTGGAAATGCCTTTCGTAACGCACCAAGTCTCTGAGCCATACAGAAGCACTGACTTGACTGATGTTGGTGTTGAAAATCCGGATCTTCTTCACGCCTTGTGCTGAGTGCAGAGGATTTCCACACTGGTTTCAGGCTAATGAAATCCTGTCTCGCTTTTCCAATCCTGCCTGATTTGACGTCCTCGTCTATGCAGCCGCCGCCACTGCCTGTAGTTGAAACAGTGCTGCCTAGATAGGTGAGGGAGGTTACTTCCTTTACGTTTCTCCCGTTGATGGTGATTGGAGTTTGTTGTTGTTGTCCTTGTTGTTGGTTTGGCATCTTCATCACCTCTGTCTTCTCTATATTCACTTGAAGTCCCGTCTTCTTTCGCTGCCCTACCCTACCCTGCCCTGCCCCGCCCCGTCTCTTCTGTCAAATTGTTAGTTTTTGCCTGTAGATCTTCGAGGTTGTGTGACATTAGACACCAAGCATAATCGGCGAAATCCAAATCTTCTAGTTTCTTTTCCCCGGTCCAGCCAGCGTATCCCCCTCTTCTCGCTCCTCACAGTTTGTTGCGTGATCCAGTCCAGTCAACCACAATCAGGAAGATGATGGGTGATAGTAGGCAACCCTGTCTTACTCCTGTCTTCACTGCGAAAGCATCACTGAGTTTCCCATTATGAATTACTTGTTTGGCATGTGGTGTCTTCATATAGTTGTTGAATGAGATTGATAAATGTTTGTGGTATTCCGTAGTGTTGAAGCAGTTTCCAAATTACTTGTCGGTCGACGCTGTCGAAGGCCTTCTCAAAGTCGATGAAGTTGAGGTTGAATTGAGTTGACTGCCATTCTGTACTCTGTTCTATGATGATGAGTAGTGTAGTGTTGTAATTTGGTCTGCAGATGATTTGTACTTGCTGAATCCAGCCAGCCAGCCATCCTGTTCTTGTCGTAGTTTTGAATGCAGTGCATTTTTTAGCGTCTTCAGGATGATGCGGCTTAATATTTTGCTTGCTTTGGGTGGACAGGAACGTGATTCCGCGACAAGAAATCTTACTGATCAATAAATCAAGCTGGTTCATGCATTACTGACGTTTTCAGTAGTTATGAAGTTTATATAAGTTCTTGATACAAATAATACATGAGATTTGTGTAGTCGAACTTTTAATACCACTTCAGGCTTAATTTTCAGTGCTACTTCGTTCAGCAGTGTGAATCAAATGATATCTAGATCAAAGCAAAACAATTTTTCTGATTAACAGTGAAACCTGAATAGCAAACAGCCTATCAAAGGAAATACAACTGAATTTGCAAATATTTATCTTTAAAGGTATAGCCTTTGGATGTATATAACTGAAGGGAAGAAACCGTAGGAAACATGATTGGTTGAAATATTTTCAGTAATAAAAGGACTACATGATAAATAAGCAGCTAAATACCATTAACTTTCAAATCTCATTCCATAATATGTCAATATAAGTATGATGTCTTTGATCTACTTAATTATAAGGTGATAGAAAAGTTATTGAATATAACCTGAATAAGAAAAGAGTATTCTCATTAGGAGTTACCAATGCTCGAAGTTTTTCATTTGTTGTAAAACTTGAACCTCTAAATAAGTGAATACATAAGTGGTCTGTTAAAGTTGATTAAAATGTCTTTATATACAGTTTTGTAAATGAAAATAACTTGTCCACCTTATAATTAACTGTTCAAAGTTTCATTGACTTGACACCTGTTACTCACTTTGAGATACAGTAAGACTATTTTATTTGACTGTATTTTCAACTGAAAGTAGAACTTTAATATACTAAAACTCCTTGGTCATCAGATAGAGTAACCTATTATTAAAAAGGGATACTGAATAAGTTAGACAGTTCTTGGAATTGAAAGTGTTAGTAGGGATAGTTAAGGTAAATATTTAAGGGATTTTTACTACAGTATCAAAGATTTTAGTATAATTAGACCTATTATTTACTGTGTGTCGATTGCAAACAGTTCCTGACCATTTACGTTGATTTAACAATCAAGGTAACAGTTGTTTACAGTGATGAAATCTTTTTATGCACGAATCACTATCCCCAGTAGATGTTAAGGGTTACTAGAATAATAACAGCTTAAGATAATTAACTATAGACAGTACCATAGAAGCGTTCCTATCTGACCTTAGCATTCAAAGCAGCTGCTTCTGAATCAATTCCACTGAGACTCAGAAAGCTAGTGGACGAAAATTTAGTACCGGAAATAATATTGATGAAATCTACTACTTACTGCACAATGCCAATGCAGTTAAAGGATAGGCTACTAAGTTTAACCATATCTTTGTGTATTAATAACTTTAACTGCTGTTATGGAAATAGTTACAGAGGTAGAATGGTACAAAAAAAACCCACTTTCACCTTACAGGGAACTATTCTGCATGCTTAATTAAAAGAATACCGGAGTTAAAAGGAAGGTCAATATTGGCCTGTTTAGTGGATAGTGGCAGTAGGACTAATAAACCTCCAGCCTTTACTGTTCTACCCAGAATACTATCAGTCTGAACGCCTCCAATTAATAAGCATACCATAGAAAATTGTTACGGGAATTTTCTAACGCAAAGTTTTGCTATAAAAGTTGTTCATTTGATCCGTTTCCTATCCACGGTGTTTACATCTAACCTAGATACAACAACAATAATTTTCTTTCACTGTCTAAATGAAGAAATGTAAATATTATCTTCCGTGTTAAAGTTATCATTATCGTTATCACTATACTTCATCCTAATTTTAATTTGTTGTAGAGATTTTCATGTCATAGCTTGTAAATCTCCTTCGTTAGTTGGGCGGAGTTGATCAGCCAGTACTGGTATATGTGCTCTTGTGTAAATGCCTTGATATTGCCGGTAATATCAGTTTTGAGATTAATAACGAGTAGTGGCAAGCAGGCACGTTTCCTCTTATTTGGAAGTCGTCAAGCTGAATGTGTCTGCCTCCCAGTGAGTGGTGTTCTCCCAAGACTTGTACCAAGGACCCGTCGCTACTTATGCGCACCTTATTTTCATAACTTATTAGGAATTCAAATGCCTTGTTACATAATTTTCTAAGTAGTGGTTAGCAGTGCGGGATTGGCAGTTGCATGTGCCCGTATCGTAGTGTGTGATAAAATTTTCACCGAATCTTAAACACACAACTCGTCACTTCAAACTCCAGAACGTTACCCATTAGGTTACTGAGTCACTAGGTTTATACGACAGTAATTTGTCCCCATCCATCCATAGATACATCCACAGTTCAATCATTCAGTCATAAAGATTGACTGCTCAGACTGTATAAACTCTTGCATGACATTATTATTACCGTCACCTTTATTGTTATTTATTTATTTACTCTAATTCTAATAATCACATTGGTTTCAAAACTGTGGATAAATTATTACTTCTATATTCAGCTATATACTTTGATGGCACAACACCACCATTGGACTGACACCAGCTGGAGAAACATTGGAAACCTGGGATCACTGGACAGCTGTCTCGTCCTAGTATGGAACTCCCCAGCAGTCAGCACTCACAACCCCGTGACCTTCAAGTTCCGTGGTCGACACGTTAGCATTGAGCCACTGGATCGAAATCGACTCGTCCATATTTCCAACTTCCATCAGTTCACGACATAGCGCGACAGCAACCCAATGTTATCGCCGAGCATTTGTCCTTACTGTCACAAGGTTTACCCCACTGGTCATGACTTCACACTGGAACATTTTTAATCACTTCCCGAAGCTAGTCAACAATGAGCACCTGGTTAACTTGTTCACTAGTTAATAGCCAGCCCTAAGCCCGGATAAAGAGATGAGGCTGAGCACATGGCTAGCAACCCTATCCCGTAAAACAAATCCAATCCCTAAACAAACTCCAAAACACAAACAAAATATAAAAAATAAAAATAAACTTATACCCCGCTAGAATCGGGGAGACAAAATGACTCCAGTTGCTGACAACCTTCGGGAAGTCAATTAGCCGGGCTGACATGTCCTCTCTCGATGAAAGCAAAAGCAAGAATGGGGACATGAAATGTCCGCACAATGTTTGAAGCTGGCTGGCAAGGCTGTCCAGATTATAAAAGAGATGAGAAGGTATGACATGGAAGTGCTTGGAATCTGCGAAGAAACTGCAGATGGAATGGAAGTGGACTCTGAAAAATGTCAACTGGAGAGCAGTCAAGAATCTACTCCAATATTGTCACCCAGATAACAACCACAAGCACACTCATTGTTGCAGTGGCTGTCATGATGTTCTCAAGAGCATTAAAGGCTCTCATGCATTGGAAACCAATCTCCCTCCTCCAGCATCACGATCATGACAGTAAGATGGATTCAATTGAAAGGAAGGAAATTCACAATCATTCAATACTACGCTACGTACCTACAAATAATTCAGATGAAGAGAAGAATGAGGAATTCTACAGACCACTGCAATCAGTAATGGACAAGACAATACCCCAGGTGGTGATGGTGACATCAAAATTCTAATGGGTGGGGTGACATGAATGCCAAACTGGGAGCAGACAACACAGGAAGAGAATTCAATCATAGGTCGAGAAGCACTCGGTGACATGATGAATGAGAACAGATAACTGTTTGCAGATTTCTGCGCATTCAACGATTTGGTGGTTGGAGACAGTTTGTAGAAACACAAGGACATTCACAAAGCGAGAGATATGGATTTGATTTCACCAGGTGGACACACCTAAAATCAAATCGACTTCATCTGAATGTGGAGAAAGTGGAGACGCAGTCAGCCTACTGGATACCAGATCACGAAGAGGAGCAGATGCAGGTTCACACCGATCACTATCCAGGACAAGCAACCCACCTTCAAAATCAAGTCGAAAGCCTTCAATTCCAAGAAGCTGGTGACAGACCACGGTGAAGCAGAAGATGAAACAGTGCAGTACAGTATAGTACAGTACAGTACAGTAAAGTAAAGTAAAGTAAAGTAAAGTGCAGGGATGAACAACAAATAGAGCAACTGAACACAACTTATAAATCACTACACCAGATAAAGAAGTGAAGAAGAGTGCGCGCAAAGACAAAAGACACTTCTACGACACACTGGCAAGTGAAGCACAACAGGCTGCTGGTAGGAGAGACACAGACCTGACAACTTCATATCAAATAACCAGGTTACTATCTGGGAGGGAAGAGATCAACTCAGAAGAAGTCAATCAGAGATAGTGAAGGGAACTTGGTTACCACCAGAGAGGAGAAACAAAGAAAACGATGGGCTGACCACTTCAAAAATCTCTTGAGTCGACCACCACCACCACCACCACCACCAGCACCTGCAACTAGTCCACAAATACCACCAGCAGTGCAGCCACAGAACTATCAGTGAACACAAACCCTCCGACGAATGCAGAATTTAAGTCCTGAATGCCATAAAACTGCTGAAATCA